TTAGTTCCCAAAAAATAAGGAACCGGAACTGAAAATCGAGAACCGAGTGGATTTGGTTCGGTTATTGGTTCCTGAACCAGAACTGTGGGTACGCAAATGGAACCGATTTTTATAAAAAAAAATCATTTATAATTTATTGGCTGGAAAAAACATATAAAACCTAAAAATCCTAATTTTAGTAGTAATTGGTCTAAAACTTAAAACTCTAACTCTAAAAAATAAGATTGATTCTTAGTTTTTTACATCCTACCTTACATCAAATTGTTGCATTTCAGAGGTTATTATATGTTAATGTTTACAATTTGAGTTTTTTTATAAATCAAAATTTTCAAACAAATTGTAATATAAGTTGATGAATCAAAACGTTTATTCTTTTGCAACAAGCTTTTTATTTTATTGTATTATTAATAAATTGAAGTGATTTTTTTAATTTTTCATAACACATGGCAATTGAATTTGATATATTCATTACTCGCGCTGTGTTTATTTTACTTTTTTGTTATTTTGAGTTCGTAGCTCTCTTTTTAAATATTTATTTTTTATTAAAACATAGTGAGTTAAATGTGTGGACCGTAATTTTTTAATAATATATTAGCTATGTATTTAATTAATATTTTTTTATATCAGTTCGTTTTACAAGTAAAAGAATTTAAGCATTGTTCATAATTAAATTATATGTCTAGTATGCATCTCTTAGAGATCGAAGAAAATTTATTAAGAAATGTAATTTTTCTCAAATGATAATTTCATTTTTGATTTTTTTATTTTCTCCAATTTTCGTGACTTTTAGTATCTAATATTCTGCTTTTTGAAGATTTTTTAATTGAATTTTCTCCATTGCATATATATTTTCGATTAGCAGCGTATTAGATATATGTACCAAAAGGGTCAATATGAAATATTTATTAAATAAATTTATATAAAAATGCTATGGATAGAACCGAAATCGAATCGGAACCGACGGGTCGGGTTTGAGTTTGGGTTCTTGTATTTACAAAGACTCGAATCGTTTCATCTGCGAAATACCCAAAGCATAATGGGTGATTCTGGGTATTGAAATACCCAGACCGACTCACTCGATGTCGAGGCCTATTTGGAAGTGTTGATGGTTTTTACACACTTATCTATTTTAAAAATCTACTAGATATGTAAATCAGACTAATGTACATATTTTATTTTAAGAGAAACTCTCGATTTTAACATCACCTGGGTAAAATAAGTATTTTTTGGCATAAAACGATGAAAACAGAAAAAATGTGGAATCCACTGGAAGAGCTTGTGAGAAAATTATAGCATAAAATTAGGTACAAATATCTCCATAGAGCAAATAGTAAACCATTGAAAAGATAATGGAATTTGAAGTTCAATGCGAAAAATAGTTGATCAAAAGTAACGGGAGTTCAAAATTAGAGCATTGAGGTCGGAAAAATTGTTTGCCATGGTCGGATCGCGATCCGCTTCTATTCAGAATTTGGCTTTTTACCTAAAATTAAATTAACTTCGGTATTTTTAGGGCTCCAATTCAAATGCACATAGGAGGCAATTTAGATCAAATATGTCGGGAAAAATGGGAAATTTGTGTGTAAATTGACATAATAAACTAACAAATACAAATCAACAATACTATAACCATAAGGAGAGAAGAGTTAGAAATACAAGTCTTGGAAGTCATGTCGAAGATGCTATCGTAAAGTCATGTTGTCTTATCTTCGTATGAGTACTTTCGGCACTGCACGCTCTAAAATAAAACTCATGTGACTTACAGTCGATTCTCCTTCTTTGGATAAAATCATAGGGAGATAAAGAATGAACCTCTTATCAAGTTGTCAAAACTATAGAAATATAATATAAAATATAGATTGAGTAATTTTGTAAATAAGTATCTCAAGTTGTGTTTTCATGTCATGTCCAAATTATAAAATCACCTCCCTTTTTATAGTGTACAACTTAAACCCCGATACTAATGAAAAAAAAAAAAAATCAATTAAAATGTAAATTAAAATATATAATTACGACTTTTAATTTTTTATTAAACCTGAAGATTAAAATAAAGGAAAACTGAAAATTAAAATCAATTTTGAGTTTTGAAAATTTAAAACTTAAGTTACAACAAAATAAAGGGTAGAGATACATATAATCATACATAAAATTCCTGAGAGACATTACGGGAGAATAAGATGCAAAACACAGTAACTTTCTCATTGAAGAAATCATCTGTATTTCTTGGACTCAGAGCAAGGAAGATTATTCAAGATGCATTGAAAAGATTTGAAGATTGAAGATTTGTCTATTTTTCTTCCATTGTTTTCAAATCCTAATAATGTATTCTCATCCAAATAGTTTTCTTGCAATTCAAGAATATTGTGCTAAACCCTTTGTGATTAGCATTTACGATTAAACCTTGTTACCTGCTGATTAATTAATTGATCATTTTCAGTTTAAATTCTTGTGATTGTTTTTTTATTTGTAATTTCCCTTTTTGTTTTAATGTTTGATCACCATTCAATGTGTTTGAGATTTAGATTCTGAGATGTTCGGTGTAAATTATCATATGAAAATAAACAACACTAGATACCAGAGATACTTCCATTTAGTGTTATACCTATAAAATATTTCATATTGGGCCTCGTATTGGACTTGGACAAGGCCCCTTATCTCACCAAGCCCACCAGGCCCGTGTCCTTTTCTATATATATGTGAATCTATTTTCATTTTAAGGCATGTTTCTAAAAACTCTAGCCAATTTCCATCTCCCGATTCTTGCACTCTTTATTTTCTCTTCATCCAGTTGTTGATTTGATCATTGGAGTGCAAACAGTAGTCGAACCTTTTTCTCGATCGAAGACCTTTGCCTCTTAATGAAGTGTTCAGTGTTCAGTGTGCAGGTTTAGAGGGGAAGTGGCCAGGATTCTGTTGACGACATTTTTTGAAGTCAACACTTAGTGCAATCTTTAATAATATTTCAGCTTTGTCCTATATTTTTATTTATTCGCATCCTTTCATAAAGATAAAGTTAGAGCGCATATAAAAATTGGATCTATGTATCTCAGGCAATGTTCTAAAAAGTGTAAAACATGATTAGATGTGGAGGCCAATCTTCAAACTTTAATAGCTTAGGTGAGTCTAAACAAAGTCTAGGCATAAAAAAGTGTTTTCTTATTTTTTATATTATTTAAAAATTTTAATCATTCTAAAAATTAATTAATTATTAAAATAAGACATAATAAACATCTAAATTTATAAAATACTATATTTACTTAGTAATTCTTACAATTATATAATTTTCAAATTTTCGAGAAATGTAAAAATTAGACTATTTTTTTATAGTTTCAACTTTCAACTAGATAATAAATAAATAAAAATTAGTATTCAACAACTACACCAAATGTCCAAGAATATTTATTTTGAAATCAAATAACTAGTTAATGTAATGTCTTCAGTCTTCCCCAAAATTGAAGTTCTTACTTGAACCCCGTTGAGGAAGGCAAATTGGATTTGGAGCAATCGAGCTTCATTGCTTTTTCAATTTTCTATTGGCCATTGCTTTGTTTGAAATTTTTTAATGTATTTTGACTTTTTACTTTTGTCCAGATAGTCATTTAAAAATTTAAAATTAAAGTTAAATATAAGGCTTTTTAGAAAAAGAAAATAAAAAAATAGTAAATCACTTCTAGGCACACATTAAAAAATCAATTTGACAGCTGATTGCTTAATTTCTCACTCGTTGCCAAGATGTGACGTTTTGCCAAGCATAGCATCTAGACACACTTTTTAGAATATTGTTTGGGAGAGAATGTTAACCTAAGGAATATTTAATTATCAACACCAATCTAGAGTTGATTGTGAACTAGTAATTGAAGATTAAAAGTCTATTAAATATGGTAGAATCGAAATTCTAACGTCTATAGTGATTTGATTAAATGCTAAGATTTATTTTCATTTTTTATTGCTTATTTTTAGTAGATAATTAAATGTATCTTAAAAAACATACTTCAAAACTTTATGTTTCGAGTTAAAGCTAGTTTTAACTAAAATAAAATAAGTATATAATTAGTTATCGTGAATTCGATGCTCTATTTTATCTTACTCTTCATCACAAAAATATATCGACAACTCAAATCATGGGAACCATGAACGGAACACGTCAACGATACAATTGGTTGACTTCAAAATCCAATATTATCATTCGATTAATAGAAATACCTATTTCTATTGAGCCGATTATCCGTTCGGTCATTCCCCTTCGACGATCAAGTTCGAAAGCCTCGAAACAGGGTAAAGAAGATGAAAATATTTAGAAAGCATTTTCTTCATATTAACATAAAATTGAGATGGCCTTAAAATGTACGTAGAGGAAATTGAGATAAACAAATTGGCACAATACAAAGAAAATCGAATGTATCAATCAATAATTATCAAGACGCTGAGGAAGGAAATCAACATGTTACTCTTCTACTTGAATGATTTCAATTTGACACTCACAAGACAGAATTCTAAAGAAGTTCTCTATTGCAGAAGAAATTGAGGTCAGAATTTTGCAGACTGGTGAATAAAGGAACACCCCATTTCTTCAAAAATAAAGTGAGGAAATTCCAAACAGTTTAGAACCTTGTCATAATCTCTTATTTTACCTCTACTTTGTTCGATTCAAATTTGACACTCACAGGATAGAATTCTAAAGGATTAAGTTTTTCTTCAAAAATAAAGTGAGGAAATTCCAAACAGTTTAGAACCTTGTCATAATCTCTTATTTTACCTCTACTTTGTTCGATTCCCCCAGCAAAACCATCTCATCCATTCCAACTAGAATTCAAACAAAGAAAACACAAGCATGTGAACTTTCATTTCCAGCCACCAGCTTAAAACCTGAACGACGTCGTAAAATCCATCGTCGTCACCAGAACCAAACCTGTGCTAGAAAGAAGACTGAGCAAGCAAGACACCTTGACATAGTGACATCAAGATAAACCCAGCACATAACATCAACTAAAAAATCAGTGTGGAAGAGAAGCTTAAACTGCTAAGAATCATCTTTGATTCAAGATACAACATAAATTATTGTTCAAGGCAAACTAAATCTGTAATTTAAATAAAATACTAAACAACTGATCCGACTGTAAAATTCTAAGATAAAATAGAGAGAAATCTGTAGTCCACAATAAAAAAAAAAGGCATGACTTTCTCCTATAAATAATACAAGTAAACATGAACTCCAATGTTGAAGCAGCAGATTTTGAGCTGGAACCTGCGAAGATTCCCAGTGTTTCAGCACTTGATTAGAACCAGCCACCACCACTAAAAAGCCATGCGACCAGCATTTCCTTTCTCGCTAAAAAGCCTGCTTTCTGATATTCTTCTGTCAATTGCAGCATCAATTGAGCTCATCTGTGACACAAAATCCAGTTAAAAGATATCAGGACGGAGACAATCGCTAATCAAATAATCTGCAGTCAAATTTTAAAACATGTTTTTAGTTGATACCAAATTCTGCAAAAGGAGCTGACCTGGGCCACGTTTGAGTTCAAGTTCGATCTTAAAAAACATTGTATGACGATACGAATGAGCAAAAATCTGTTTGGTGTGTACTTGTTTCACCCAAACCCAAATACATTATGAATCAAGTACAAGGTGAATTCATGAAATTAAAACGTAAACGTACACTCATCTTAATGTTGTATGATGCTAGTTTGGAGAGTCCTGGAGTTGATTGCAGCATTCTTGTCAGAATTAAATTACTAACTACAGAGAAGATAATGAGAATACCTACTCGAACCTTTGTTGACCACAAAATCGGTGGGATTGCTTGCCAACGGGGCCAAAATAGATAAAATATTCCATCAAATCAACAGAGTTAAGAAAAAGTAGAGACATACTTTGAGCAAATTGCTCAGACATGTTCTCGATTTTAGGGGAAGCAAAACAAATTTGAGTACACACACAGGGACCTTAATAAAAATCAAACAAGGCGTAAACAAGAGAAATTGGAAACAAGAAGCAATGCATGAGCACCTGGATGGTTGAGCAACTCAACTCCATATCCATACGAAAGAATTTGAGTACAAACTCATTATGACTTACCTGGCTAGTTTCATCATGCACCTGATACTTCAACAAGGACATTCTTCTTTCCTCCTGTAAAATTTCACAAGTAAACGTGACGACGCCAACCAAAGGAGAAGAGTGAAGAGGCAACTTACAAAACTTTAGAAAAGAACTACTAACCATGGACATAGCTTCATCATCCCAGACTAAGTAGACCTCGTTAGTTGCAGGGTGCATAGCTGAAGCCTTGTTTGCAATTATAGGAGGTGGTCCAATTGAAGGGCCACCAGTATTTGGACCAGAGGCATAAGAATGTGAATTTACTGATATTGCAGCAGCTAAACAATTGGAAAAAAATGCATGTTAAGAAAAATGTGGACAGCACCAAACAGATGCAGATTCTCACCTATATTTTCCGGCATCAATACATGGATAATTACCAACTCTTAGTTAACAATAAGAGAGAAATACCAGAAAGCCCTTAAAAGATTATATATCTGAAAAACATTAATTACTTTTTATTTATCAAAAAGCAGGAGGGAAACATGAGTCAATTTTTATTTCCATAAATCCAGCCAGTCATAGCAACACGAACATTGATAAAGCAAGAGATCATCGGAAAAAATTAGCATTACTAGTTATACTAGTTATGCACAGGAGAATCCTCATAACAGAACTCCAATCAGTTACTAGGAGCTTCCTATACCTACATTATGCAGAACTCTATCCACGATTATAATCATTGGGAAAAGATGCCATGACTCAAAAGTCAACCGCTAATATAATACCATAATTCACATCCAATTGTCACTAAAAACTTCTTTTCAATGGAATTCTGCCAGAAAAGCCAGAAGATATACGATTCTCTGGGAAGGGTTTTAGTTACATGACCAATAGACTATTACTATTTTTCTTTTTCATTTTTTCCCCCTTTTCGCCCTGGTTGCCATGAGATATTAAGGGACACCACAAGTTCTAAATTCTAAACATTGAATCAATTCACTGTTTTCCAAATACGACTGACACATTAGGAATTGTTTGTCACTGCTCGAGGATAAATTAACTATTCATAATCAGTCTTGTATCAGTACGAGTTTCAGCTTTAGAACCTTTTTCCGGTGCATACAAGAAATTCTTAAAGGATTCATGTCTAGTTGATTCCAGTCATAATATTACATATTTTTGCATGCGCAAGTTCTAAGTCAAAACAGTTGGAGACTTTGTTGATAAAAAATAGTTTCGAGTTTTCTAACGAGTGAAGAAATGGGAAGGATTTCGAGTGTTACAGAATAAGACGTCACTTGGATCTCCCAACGACTACAAATTAACTAACACAATAAACCATTTTCACTCCCTCGTTATTAAGATTTTATTCTAACATGCTATAATCATAGAAATGTCTCATCATAACTAGAATATATACTTGAACGCATTTATAATAAACAATTTTAAGGTTTTTATCGAATAATCCTTGTTAACTGTGGGCAACGACACAATAGACTCAGGCACAGAAGTTGATATCAAGTGAAAAGAATTTGAACATCCCAACCAATTTTGTTCTGAGACTCTGGTATATAAAGTTGCCAAAAGAACAGCAAAAAGCAAAGATATCCACAAACTTTCCTGCTGAAGTCAGAGCTTCTGTGGTAACTTCACGAAAAAGATTTACATTTATAAAATCGCTTTTCCACAAGGTAAAGAAAAAATATAACAAAATGCCACATTTCCACTCCAGCAAATAACAACAAATACAATACGAAATCCTGCAGGAAAAACTGTGAAAACAGAGATTAAGAAAATATATATATATATATATATACCTGGAGTGCCAGAGCCATGATAACTATTAGTAGCCGAAGTGTAACTACCCATGTTTGGATCTGCGCTGTTAAGTCCTGCAGAAGAGCTTAATGCAATGCTATTTGGAGGCATAGGTGCAGAAAATGGTGAATTTTGAGGAAAATTGTTGATAGGAACAACAGGGAATAAAGGTTGGGATACAGGAACAGGAGAAGCTGCAGACATCCCAGGAGGAGTATTTGGCATTGATTGTTGAAGCACAGCGGATGTTGCAGGTGGCACAGGAGGCCTGGCATTCTGTACAGGAAACAAGGGCTGTTGTGTCATCGGTGCAGGTGGTGGAACTGAAACAGCAGGATTTTGTGGATACCAAGGTTGTGGGCGAGGTAAAACAGGCCACCTACCAGCAGGCATAGGAATTGCAGGATTATAACTGCAACACATGAAAAATATCCTGTTAGAAAGTTCGCTCAGGTATGGCAATGGTTACGATAGGGGGAAAGAATTGAGTGGTGTTTTTTCATTACTAAAAAAGGCACAAAAAAACCAGTTAATGCAGCAACCAAAATGGAAAATCACAAACACAAGCACAAGCACAAGCATCAACCATTTCAAAGGGGAAAAGGATGCCAGTGTGGGAAATGAAATTTGAACAACATTGCTCTTTTCAGGCTAGTAAAGCAACAACAAGAAGAAGTTATTGTATATTCCTAACCAACATGGATTCAATTCAACCGTTTCAATACTTGGTAAAAGGGGCAGATATATGGACTAGAACTCTCCTTAGTTGTCATTTTAAAATGTTTCCATACATCACCAGACCATCATTAACACCCCATAACAGCATAGTCTCTGTTGCACGGACACTTCAATTAGGGTGGCATGTGCATGTCCAAGGCATATTGCCGTATTGGATACCAAAAGTCCGACACTATATAGTGATAATTTTTCTTTAAATTTACCAGAAAATTTTATATTTTTAACTCAAGTTCTTATTATATAACAAATAGGTGCTCAATTAAAAGATTTCAACAAGAAAAATTAATAACTAGTATAAAACTAATTTATACTATATAAATGAATTAAAAAATTTAAGCAACATGTAGGTGATCGACATGTAGTTTCAGTACTTAAAAAATATATATATATATATATATATATATATAAATCACGTGTCTATGTGTCCAACACGATATTCCGTCACGTATCATGTTGGACAAACCCAAGTGGGTCCATCATAGAGCATGGTCAAAGACACAATCAACAATTGAATCAGTATGAGTAATGATACAAGAACCTACAGTGGTGGCATTGTTCCCAAATTTGCCCGAGGAGGAAACCCAACACCTAATGATCCTGGAACCATGCCACCAACCATTTGGGCTGATGTAATTTCAACTTTGGCTGTTTTCGAAGGAGTATCTTCCTCTGGAAAAAAATGAAAAGAAAAAAAGGGGTATCAAATGAGACCACTTCAATTGAACAAAACAAATACTCTTTGTACCATCATTGAAAGAAAATACTTACCAGAACCAGTCATCCAGATGTCTAATGGATAAAAACCAATAAGCATGACAATAAGAAAAAAAAAAGTGATGTATGCATTACTAATGAAAAGTGACTAGAAGAGACATTTTGATAAATGAGTACCCTTTTATTCTTAAAAAGGAGACAAGAGGTGCACCTTTTGATAGATCAGGACCTTCAACTAATGAAAAGTCAAAAAATAACAATAAAACAAAACAACCAAATGAAGGAACATTCATAACAGTTTTATGTTTCAAATTCACGAACTAAAATAAGACATACCTTTTCAAAATTTTGTCACTCTTTTTGGCTAGTCTTTTGGGCAAGGGGGTTTGGGAGAAAAAGCATTAACATGCAAACCACAATACTCAGCTCTACCACATAAGTACACAAAGAGAAAGCACCCAGTAACTATCGATCCATTATACTATTTTCTGTAGCACTTAAAAACTTATGAAAGGTGGGCAAGGACCTTAACACATACCCCCTTTGAGTAATTCTTGCACCAAGGTCACCATATCTCCCATTTTGAATCAAATGTCGTTTATTTACAAGTTGTAAAGAAACAATAGGCTTACCACAGATTCCCCAAACCACAATGAAGAAATCAAATGAGCTAACTAAACATGAGTGACGAATCTCAAACCCCCCAATTTATACCAATTTCTATCCACAATTAATCAATGCTACCATCTGTAAAGGAGCATCTAGTTATAGTCTCGTTCAAACACCAATATATGCTTTTTACTTAGGTTATTGTCTTGCAAATATGTTTTCTGACAATATGTTTTCTGAAAACCAGATAAACATGTTCTACTTTTCTATGAATGAGAACACACATGTAGAAGTGAAAAGATGCTCTAGTGCTGCTACATAGCTCCCTTATTTTTCAGGTTCTACTTGGAGAAGTTGTAAGCATGATATAACTTTTGAACTAGCGCAAATATGGAAAATATATGGAAAATACAAGATTGTGGTGCACACAGATATGATTTAAAGGGTAAAACAATAAAAAGCATACCTTCCTCTCCATAGTGAGTGGCCAACACATCAGGCGGAATTCCTTGCATTCCATATATTTCGATATCCGTTGACTCTCTCCCAGGTTTAGCATTTGGAACTCTGAGAAAATGCTATCATGTAATATTAGAAGTGAAAATAACAACACAAACATCACAGAGAACAAAAACAAGTCAAAGAAATTTGAGAGCGACTCTTCACAAAGATTTCACTTTAGAATAAAAGGAACTAATCAAAAGAAAAACAATAATAAAAAATAAAAAATTACATTATAGATACAAATTACCTCAATTTTTTTTTTTTAGTTAAACTTATTCCAGTGCACATTATTGTGATATCTAAACCTAATTATATAATTCCTCGTCCTTTCCTAACTTTGCTTCACTTGTTAAAACCTTGTAATTGAGCAGAGATCTTGGCCTTATCAAAACTAAATACTTTGCTGCTAACAAATTCACAAGTTCCAAGAAATGAACTTAGTTCCAAACTTACTTGTAACTGAATCCTATCCTTCTAAATTATGCACTTTACATGTTATTTAAAATACCAGCATCTTTCTCCAATAGTCATATTCTCTCTCAAAACTTATTACAGGAAATAATATAAACAGAAATGCGAGCTCTACAACAGAATTTCCTCCATCCCGATAGATGGAAAAAGGAATAAAAAAAAAAAAAAAAGGAGTAAAAGAAGGGAAATACACACAGAGGATACTGAATCTTTCTAATAATGTAAATCAAATGTTATTTAAAATTCCAAAAACTTTCTCAGACAGTTATTTTCCCTCTCAAAACCAATTACAAGAAGAACAGAAAAAGGAATGCAAATTCTAAAAAGGACTTCATCCATTCCCAAAGAGAAAAAAAGGTCAAGAGGATAGAACAGGTGAATATACATAAAATGAAAAGCCCATCATAAAACCTAGCTAGCTCCACAACCGAAAAAACAAAATATTTAACCAAACTCATCCATGTTAACCATAACATTCTCTTTGCTTTGACAAATGAAATCGAAAACGGAATTAAAAATTGAGCACCAAGCAAAATAAAATAAAGAATAAGGTACAGACTTGGAGACTTGCTCCTTGTGGACTTGGAGGACATGTATGGCCATGCCGCCAGCGGTTGAGAGCTTCTTGTGACAAACGTGACATTTAAAGTGCTTCGCCTTCTGGTGCTGCACCAATATCTTCTCGTCTTCGAACTCCCTGTCACAATAATAGCACCATACCTTATCCATAGCCCCTCTTTTCTTCTTCTTCCCCATTCTTCTTTATTCGGTTTTCGATTGTGATTTCTCCCAACCCAAAAACTATTAACGGTACTTACCTACGATCTAGTCTCCAACCAACCGACGGTGATTCAATAATACTTCGGGCTTGGAATTTCTTGATAACTACTCCATTGGATTTCGTGTTAATCGAATTTCTAGGAGGAATTTTTAAGGAGGGAAGGCTTTTAGGGCTTCTGGGGATCGGATCCGCATGGAGCTTCTATTCCCCAAGTTTTCATCTTGTTTGGAACATTGCAGCTCTGTATATACCCCGTTTGGGCTTCATTATTTTTAAATTATAATGAAATAAATAAATAGTAATTTTTAAAAAAATGAGTGATTAAAAAGAAATTAAATTTTTTTAAGTTTATGTGTAATATTATTTTATTAAAAAATATATTATTGATAAAAAGAGATAAAAAAATGAATTTTAATTTAGCGGAGGCCAAACATGAGCATACATGAAGAACTACAATAGAACTCCTCGATTTATGAATAATATGGCATTTGTCTTTAATCTTCATAGGATTTTGCACTTAGATCCCCCACTATTGGGGATGGCAATGAGATTGGCTTGGGATTGGACGGGTTTGGGACAAGGCATTTTCCTATCTCTTACCGGTCCTGTTACCAGTTTAAGGTAAGGCGGGACAAGACGAGGCCTCTACCCGTTTATGTACCCTTTTTTTATATTTTTTATAATTCATTTTATTGTCATCGTTTATTAAATTGAAACAATAATATAGTTATTAAATTTTTTAATTAATTAATTTATTTTAAAAAATTAAATTATTCAAATATATTTGGTAAATTAAGGTTTTTATTGTTTATCATATTCCTTAAATAATTTTAGTTGCCATCTTTCTATTAAGCCCATGTTTAACCCTATTTTCGTTCTCATTTTTTCTCTCTCATATTTTCAATCACACAATTTTTCATAAAATAATATTACACGCAAATAAAAAAATTCATTCTTTTTCAATCACACATCATTCAAAAAACACTGTTCTAACCATTAAAATTTGACAAGAATGAGGGCCAAACGAGAGCTAAAATTAATGAAATTTAGTGAAAGTTTTCCATTTAAACTATTGAATTCTTGAGAAAAATAAAATAATTGGGTAGGGCGCGAGGTGGATGTTACACGTACTCACCATATACCTACCTCAGGGCAAAATTCCTTGCCCCAAACCCGCCCTGAATACTCGAATGGGGCGGGGCTCATAGGTATCAAGTTTAATAGATTTTTTTGTCATCCCTACCCACTGTGATTTTAATTGGCTTGACTACTCTTTAAATATGAGATACTCTCCAGTTAACCATTAAAATCATGCTTCAAGAGACTGTTTAAGTTAATATTTTAATTTATAATTAAATGCATTCAAAGTGTTTCAATTTCAATGTAGGAAAAAATATAAAATAATTTAGAGAAAAATTAATTAAGATAAAAGATTGAGAAAAACAATAAATATTTTTTAGAACTGGTAAAATTAAGTGTTAAATATAAAAAGCTTGTTCAAGCATTTCAAAATTCTAACTCTCTAAATTTATAGATATTATTCAAATGATAGAATATGTTGTTTAAAAATAAAAACTCTTAAAAATATCTTTTGTTGAAATGATAATTGTTATATTATGTCAATTAGAAACACAAAAACAAACAAACAAATCCCATCTCATATTACTTTCACATTGTTCTTCTTCCCGCCAACAACCTTCCAATCCATATAGGGCAAGGAAGAGCAACTAGGATAGGATAGGGGATACAAGATGGATAAATGTACCCAACTAAATCAAAATCGAATTGAAATGATATGTCCATATTGTTTTTGTTTAACCCTTAAACAATTATGGGTACTTAAATAAATTTGTAGTATCGGTTCAATTTTTGATTCTAGTACCAGAATTGAAATTTGAAATGCCTCAAATTTTTTATCTTTTTTTTTTTTTTTTTTTTTCAAGAATTTGCTCGGAATGTAATGTCTTCTTTAATTTCATATCCTTTATATTTCTTCTCCTTCGATTTGGCTCTTCCCCATTGTGATTAACCATTTTAAATTTACATGTGATATGAGCTCCTTCTGATACGTCCTATATATATGCAGAGGAGGAAGGGAGAGGGGGATTTGGAGTGTTGTTTTTTCCCCTAGATTGCTCGGACAAAGGGTGGTCGACTTCTTGAAGCTTGGCCATGCTCGCATGAGGCTCACTTTGGGACATGGTTTTGGGTTTTTCATGTGTTCTGATATTGGCATTTGTGGGCTACTTTTGACTATAAAACAGTGTTGTATTAGTTGTCCCAACTATTCATCTTCAAGGCAATTTTTCGACGATGAGTAGTCATAAAGTTCATCAAGAGTGCCCAAATGATGATTGGTTCTAAAGATAGTGTGTTGGTTCATCAAGAGTGCCAAGTTAACAATGTAACTTGGGAAGATGCATCTTTTTCTAGATCTTAGTATGAATTTCAATGCGAGGGGACAAGTGCAAGTCAACCATAATGAGATTCTTAGTTTGGATCAAGAGATAACTTGATGACCAAATGACAAGTAATGGAAAGAATTTTAAAAATTGAGTTGATTTGACGATCGAATATTAAAAAAAAAAAAAAAAAAAAAAAATTTCAAGAATTATAATAATAATAATAACCCCCTGTTGGACATTGTTATAATTGCTTCCCGTTGCATTGTAGGTTGTCATTTATCTCATTCTCATTTCTACTTTGAGTCCTATTTATTAGATCTTTTAGTCTTTTTGTAGTGTTGGAAGGTATTCATTTCCCTCCCTCACAAAAAGTATTGAATTTCTTAGAGTGTCGAAGATTTTTGCCACGGTAGAAAATTAGGGATCATAGTCGAAGTTTAGGTGACACATATTGGTGATATCTAGTCATTTTACCATATCAATACTAACATGTCTTGTCATTAAACATCGGCCGGCCAACCATTGATGCATATTCAGAATCGGTTGATGGATTTCATTGAAACCTGCATTGCTATTCGCTTTGAAACATCGACCAAAGAGTTGAGGTTGCAGTTGATCAGAGCATTCACAAAGTAGCATGTCCCTTCTTTAGTGTGACCTTCAGGCACATCCACCACAAATGATTCGATAATAAAGGTTTCGTGTTTCCCATCAATTATCTTCGGATGAACAGTGATAATTGAAGAGTAATTCTGCAATAAATGCATAGTTTAATTGATAGAAGTTATCTGGAAGGAAAGATAAGCTAAAAAATTTATACTCATAGCAATTAGAAATATTACCTTTTCTTACAATAAGGTAATGTACTTTTAGAAAAGCAACTATTTTTACTTAAAAAATAAGATATTCATACCTGTTAATGTTTTGACTACCTAAATTTCAAGTAAGATTTTCTACAAATGGTTAGGATAACACGTGTTTGATTATATGATTAAACCATGTTTGGCTGTGCTTAAAAGTTAGGATCTTTGATAGACATACTGTTGAAGAAGCCAAGCACTGCCAAATAATTTCAAAATTAATAAAGCAATGAAGATTGTAAAATGTGATTGAAGAGTTCAGCCTTTTTTATTCTTGATTTACCCTTTTTGTGTTTTGCTAAAATGGTGAAGTTGTTAGCATTCTTATTTATATCTAACTTATACTTTGGGGTTTAATTTCGAACAATTTCTTGTCTTGTTCAAGAATATATATTGTTGCTTTTGTTTTATAATCTTTCAAGGAAAAGATTTGATTTTGGGAAAATTTTATTGCGTGTCTATGTCTCTTACATTCGATGACTAGTTTGGATAAGAAAGGCAATCGAATTTTTTATTTAATTAGAGAACTAAAGTTTTTTGTTGATGTAATTTACATAATTGTGTAGAACACGTGATAATATTTTAGGACAACGTATGCAAAGTTCGAGAATCGGTGATCTTGCTCTATTTGACCTGAAAATCGAACGAACATTCAACCTTCGAAGAAGACAACGATTGGAAACACACCAGAAAGAGAAAGAAATGGAAAACGAAAATTTGAATCAAATAGCCATCGGGGCTAATCTGGGGGATGCACAACCGAATATAGATGCAGCTAATGAAAACGCGAGGCTGATGGGTGAATATATAGTTTCCCCGAGAGTCAATCCAGTATAGTATATTCGGCATTTGGTAAGGCAAACTTCCACATGGGGATTGATATTATCAACATGTTCCAAAATGCACTACAATTCTTTGGGAGAGCTACGAAAAATCTTAACACTCATATATCAAGATCTCTGAACATGTGTGCAACTATCGAATATCCAAGGGTTTCAAGCAAAGTAATCAGACTAAGGCTCTTCCCATACACATTAAGGGACTAAGTAGGGGAGTGGTTAGACACTTGTCCACTGCAGAGCATCATCATATGGAACCAACTGAGTCAGAAATTTTTTAACAAATATTTCTCTCCGAAATGGATTGCAAAGCTGAGGGACGAGATTACTACTTTGCAACAACTGGACTCAGAATACTATTCAGAAGCATAGGAACGATATAAAGGTTTACTTCGCCAATTCCCACAACTAAGATTATAGAAGTGGCTTTAGGTGTAATACTTCTGCATTTGTCTGAATTCGATTAGCAGGGCTAACATAGACTCTGTGTGTGATGATTCTATCACAAAAAGAACTGCAAACCAAGTCTATCATATCATGGAAGATTTGGCATTCACCAGTGCACTTTGTCCTACTGAAAGGACAAGTGAAAAAAAAAGTATTGGGGTATTCGAAGTTGATTCTTCACACCAATTTCAGCACAATTGGCACCATTGGCACAAAAGCTAGATCAGATGAGTACAACCCAAACTGTGGGATTGAAATGTAAACATTGTGGAGAAAACTACGAGAGTGTTGATGGTAATGTAGGATCCCCTTTTTGCTCAGGCCGTGGAGGATGTAAACTACACTAAAAACTTTTCAAAGACAACAACACAATCTAAATCCTAACACCTGTTAGGCTTTCAATAGAGTAATAATCAGGGAGCTCAGATTGCATCACAACAGGCCGCACCACTCCAATTTCAGCAAAATGAGAAGAAGTCTTCACTAGAAGATCTTGTTACTAAGTTAACATAAATATCCACTCAACATATGCAATGGACAGATAAGATCTTGCAAGTCCAGGGCACTACCATAAACAATTTGAAAAATAAAATGGGATAAATAGCCAAGGAACTCTAAAAAAAAAACTACAAAGAACATTGCCCAGTGACACTGAAACAAACCATTAGGAGCATTGAAAGGCTATAACT